GTATTATGTTCAGCAGACTGTGTTCTTCTATTGTTGTGACTTAGATGACGTTCACAGAGCACATTTTAGGCCCAATTCATGCAAAACTCCACGTAATCCCAAGGGGTTCACATACTTTTTCTTGCAACTGTACATAAAAAGCAAAATGATCAATACTTATTCTTTCAGCAAACCTGGGAATCTGCTGCTTTATGTAGTACTACTACCAGCTTAGGAGTCGCTAGAAGATTTGGGTCCCCCTATAGTCATGCACAGCCAGGCAACACACATCTTCACACAGACTTGCATCCAGAGTCAGAAATCAGTCCTTGAGCTTTGGTTTTGGTTTTGTTTTATTTACGGGATTTGAACTGGGATAAGGTTAGGGGTGTACCGGATGCCCAAGGGAAACTGATGGACTGAAGTCAACTTCCTGGAATTATTTACAAGCCTTCACTGCAGCACAGTCTCTGTTGGAATCCTAGCCAGCATTTCCTAATGTACCACCCCAGACCCTAAATTAACCTCTTTTCCTTTACCCAGCAATCTGGAGGTATCCCTGAACAGGGGATCCGGTTCCTGTCACTTTAAGAAATGGACAGTCTCAGGCAGGTGGTTTCCCACCAGAGTGCTCCTTCTATCTGCCCAAGGGATGCAGGGGTACTCAGATCCTCTCCTATATCTCTGATGGGTTGGTGGCTGCTACCAGGCCTTTAAGCTGGCCCGCTTCTTCCCTGCTGTACAGGTGGTCCTTCGCTCTGGGGGCTAGTGAAGTTCTGAGCTTTCTTCCTTTCCAGCTCCACTGCCTGTAGGTGAGCTCCTCTTTCCATCTGGGATCTCTCCCATGCTCCTGTCTTCAGCAACACATCTTCCTCTCTGTCTTACACCCGAACTCTCTCCACAACTGAGCAGGCTCACCTACTTTTAAGGGTTGTCCTAGCCCCTTGCAAGCCTCCTGTTGGGGATTGGCTAGGATCCCTCAAGAGTACAAGTCAGCATCTCTGCAAATCCACCCACTGCCACTAGGCCTTCCTCCAAAGCTCTAGAGCAGGGAGGAATTCCAGAGAGGCTGGCCTGCAGAGCCTCTCAGCTCCTGATCCAAATTTGACCTCCTAACTAAATTTATAAAGAGATACATTAAAATGAATATCTATAATAAGGATCATAATGTTATCAATGGCTGATCAAACAAATAATATACAATGTTCTGGGCCTATGGCTTGAACCCAAGATTTATAATTCACCACTGGATAGAAGGGCTACAGAATGCTATGGAGGATTCTAGAAAATATTTGTAGAGGTGGAATGTCATCAATAGTAGAAATCATAAATCTCTGATATTTTCTCTTTAAAGGCAACCTTATTATTTTATGTTTAAAATAAACCATATTTTACTTTTTAATGGTCAGTATGATTTCCAGCGCTGTGCTCATTAGGCTCTGCCTACACCTCGTACTTTCTCTTACAGACAATTAAAGGTGGCAGGAAATTTGACTTGCAGGTGGTTTTAATGAAGCACAGGCAAAGCGTATCTAAAGCTGTAAGGACAGTGGCTATTTCCTGCTGAAATATATTAATTGTCAGGCTCTGGAGCTCCATTCATCTCATTTTATAATAAATGGTAGTTTTAGACTAGGTAGTTTAATGTACTTTGGAGTACTTTTCTTAAGCAAACATAAAGTAGATTTCTTCATCTTTACAAAAAAGAACACAGGGATCCTGTATATAAGAAAAATGATATGTTACTTTGGGCTGTGCTGTGGGCTCTAGAGGACCTCTCAGTCCATTGATCCTGGCACACTCCAGATGCTTCATGATCAGGGGCGGACTGACCACTTGGAAACTTGGGCACTGCCCAAGGGCCCGGGGTCAGTAGGGGGCCCCATGAGATGCCCCTGGTACCTTTTTCATAGGCTTTTTTGAGTTTGGGCAAGGACACAGGGGCCCCATGATCCCCTATTGCCCGGGGGCCCCATGAGTTGTCAGTCCACCCCTGTTCATGATGCACTATGTTATCACATGATGGGTTGGTAGATTAGCTGAGGTGGTTTAGAATAAAGAATAGAAAGCTTTCCAAAGGCCAAAGAGAACAGTAACTCCTTCAATGTTCCTCCCCACAGAAACAATATTACTGTTAATCTCTAGCCAAGTTTTTTTTTTTTTTGATAGACTAGAAAATGTTTAAAACCTTTGTTTTGTTGCAGTCTGTGTCCCAGCTGTGAAAAGTCAGCTTCTCTACTTGTCTTGGTGACTATTGTTATTGGCATAGTTGTGTAGTTGCCATCAACAAAGGAGGAGTATCATTGAATTTAATTTAAATTCATTTATTTCATTTCATTTAATTTAAAGGAGGTGTATCATTTAATGGGGACACCTGATCCAGTGACAGCTGTCTAAAAGAAGATTTCCCCTTACTTTAGAAAGGTTTTCACTTGCTTCCTGTACCAGGAACCAGGCTCTAACTATTTCATACTCCATACTCTACACAAAGCTAAAAAATAAAAAAGTCTTGGATAGAGATATACTTAAAGATACTGGGATCCCTTCAAAAATCCATATCTGACCCTTTAACAAGCATGCAGCCTTGGCAGGTCAGGAAAAGGGGACAAGAACATGCTGCCCAACACCAGACCATGCCCTCAACATGCCTTTCTTACTGATGAGCACAAGGGCCTGTTTTCCACAACCTTATCCCAGTGGTTGCAGGAGGGAGGCTTATCTGTATCTAGAATACCTCCTTAACAAAAAGGGGGCTCCCAGATACCACCCACATGTGCATGAGTAAGGGGAACATAGTGTACCACACTATTCACACAAAAAACAAATTTTGACAAGTCCTTTATTAAAAAGAGATAAAAAATCCAGGAACATGTCAAACACAATGAATGAGGCCTAGTGCCTACTAAAAGAAAAAAAATCCTTCTGACCAACAGCCATGTCTGATCCCAAGGCTGACTGGATTTGAATTATAACCCCCCACCACCACCTCCACTAAAGTAAACAAAGGGGCAGGGTCTTGTCATGCTAACTCAATCCTTTTGCTCAAATGGCCTACAGCTCCTGGCCTATAAATGAATGGGGACAGGTAATGTCACTAGTTGCTAAGGACACGCTGGATGCGGGCACCTGCCTCTTCGTGAGTAACCACTGACAGCAAGGAATAGGCCATGCATAGTAGCAGTATTTCAATTGCTGCTATACACAACATTTGAACAGAAACGTTTGAACTGAACTTTGATCTCATTTCTAGTATGGCCAGCAGGGGTGTATTTACCACAAGGCAAACAAGGCATTTGCCTAGGGTGGGAACCGCTCCCCAAAAGAAAGGACAGAAGAAGGAACACACACACAGCATGGGGACCAGGTGGGATCTGAGTGAGGCTGCGGGCTGCTTGACAGTATATTCAGAGCCTGACTCTCATTCTAGGGGATGTCTGAAGCTGTGAAGGTGAGTTTCTTTCTCTCTCTTGCTGGGGGGAGGTTGGGGGGTGGGGTAGCTGGTGTATGGAAGATGGTGGTAGTGGAAGGCTCTCTTGGGTGTGTGTGTGTGGGGGGGGGGGTTGGATGGTGTCAGGCTCACACAGCTGATGGCCAGTTCTCTTTAAGTAAACATTTTTTTTCCCCTGCAAATAATGGTATTTGAAGCCCATCCACCATAACGTTTTCTCTTTTTGTTTTGCTAGATGAATTGTCTATTTGGAAAATAAGCAGAAGTTCAGATTGTTCTGCAACACTTTCACTATTATTATCCTATATTTCAGAGATAGATGCTGAAAAGCTCGGTTTTAATTTCTTATGCTACTGTTACGTGAAATTGGTTCAGTCATTTTGGCGCCTTCTGTTCTACAAATGTAAGCTAAGGCTTTTTAAACGAGAATGTTATGTACAAGGTTTATACACTGTCAGTGCCATTACATTAAAGGATTAGCCTTAAAAACACAAATAAATTCAATAGCTGCTTGTGTTTGGCTTTTGTTTGTGTGTGCTTTTTATACAGAAATGCCATATCCGGTAAGGAAATGCTGATGATGTATTAGGATTAACAAGTAAATGGGATAATTGCAGCAGTTTGAGTTAAGCATATCAATAATAGTAATAGTGATCTTAAAGGGACTCTGGCCCTAAAAGAAAAATTACAGGTAAAATGACAGAAAAATCAAGTAATTTAAATGCTTACTTTCCATTAACCACTTACCCTCCAGAGGGTTTACCCCTCTTCCTGACCAGGCCATTTTTTTGCAATATGGTGCTGCGTTAGGACTTCAGATACCACATGTTTTTCCCACACCCCACCACACTCCTGCTGTCACAGTGCATAATAGAAACCAACAGGAACATGGTCCATGATGGACTGGAAAAATAATGGCCATCTTGCAAACTGTTGGGCTCCATAGCCAGGCAGTTTCTGTTTTCTTACATCCTCCTTTCAAGGGACTATGAGGATCCTCTGAGGGTAGACTCTATCCCTTTCAGCAGGACATCTTCCCTGGCTCTCTACCTTGGGTGCTGTACCCTCCTCGACCAGGGAGAGCAACATGAGGAATCTGTGCTTGGCCCAAACAGGCTTCTGGCCTGTTTTAACCACTTGCCCTCCAGAATATTTAACCCCCTTCCTGACCAGGCCATTTTTTCCAATACAGCGCTCTGTTACTTTAACTGACAACCGCATGGTCATGCAACATTGTACATAAATTAAATTTATATCTTTTTTTTTCCACAAATAGAGCTTTCTTTTGGTGCTGTTTGATCACCTGTGCGGTTTTTATTTTTTTCGCTATAAACTAAAAAAGATCAACAATTTTGAAAAAAACAACATTTTTGACTTTTTGCTATAAAACATATCCAGCAAAAAATTAAAAAAATCTAATTTCTTCATAAATTTTAGGCCAAAATGTATTCTGCTACATGTCTTTGCTAAAAAAATGTTTAATACATGTAAAAAAAATGGTTTACGTGAAAGTTAATGGCAGTATATATACTGGAATGTTTTAAACTTTTTTTTATGATAGTAATGGCGGCGATCAGTGACTTATAGCGGGACTGGGGGACTGCAGTGGGCATTCTGACATGGGGGGAACTGACTGCCACTGACATTCCAATGACACTAATACAGTGATCAGTGCTAATAAAAAACACTGACACTGTACTAATGACACTGGGCAGGAAGGGGTTAACATCTGTGGCAATTAAAGGGTTAACTGTGTGCTGTTTTCTTATGTGTGCTGTGTGTGTTTTACTAGGGAAACATGTTGCTGTGTATTTCTCTGCTGTGCTGTGCACAGCAGCATGTTACTGCAGACAGGAGAGAGTGCTGGTGCGGCGGGGAATCTCTGTCCGGGACTCGGTAATCAACCTCTGTAGCCGCCAATGGCGGCGTGGGTAGGGCAGGCCCGTGCCCCTACCCAGAAATGCAAAATCACGTATATGTATATGATTTTGTGCAGCCCTGCTGCCTTATAGCAGTGGTTCTGCTATAGGGTGGTCAGGAAGCGATTAAATACTATATAATCCACTTGGAATGTGCCTTGAAATGCTATCAAATTCAGCTAATCCAGGAAGAGTCAATTCCCAAGCACAGCACCCTCCCTCCTTGCATGTCATAGCCCTCTTCTTTTCTGAGATTGTCTAATTACTGTCTGTGCTGACCCAGCTCCTCCTCCCCTCCCTTCACCGTCATACATAATCTTTTATGTAGCTGAAGAAGGAGAATACTATAGTCTGTAAGTTAAATGAGATCTCTGAGTTTGCTAGAGCTGCTGATATCACATCCAAGATGGTGGTGCTCAGCAGTAATGTCAGGGCTTTTGGAAATCTAATCAAGAGAGGCTTTTACAAGTAAATAACATGCCCTAAAAATGTAAAAAGCAAGTTTTGTATCTGACAGATAAAGATGTTATAAATTCTCTTCCACCAAAGAAAAAAAAAAACATGTAAATGTAATAAATGCTTTTCTTTTCAATTTAGTTCCTCTTTAAGTTAGTTTTTGATGTGACCAGGGGCGGACTGACCATTTGGAAACTCGGGCACTGCCCGAGGGCCCAGGGTCAGTAGGGGGCCCCATGAGATGTCCCTGGTACCTTTTTCATAGGCTTTTTTGAGTTTGGGCAAGGACACAGGGTCCCCATGATCCCCTATTGCCCGGGCGCCCCATGAGTTGTCAGTCCGCCCCTGGATGTGACCATAGATTAGTAAGATTGTCCCAGCAAATGTAGCTATTCCCATATATACATTGTGTTAGTGGTAGCCAGTGTTTATTCTGAATACCCAATCATGTATGAGGGGAAGAAAAAACACACACAAAAAAACAAAATGGTTTTTGCTAGAATGCATATGATTTATTGAAGGTTTTTTTCTGAATAAATGCAGGTACTCCCTCCTTCTGAGTTGCCCCTTGTTTCCACTCCCTACCCGCCTCCGAGCACCGTCTCTTGGTTCCAGTTGTTACCCTCCTCCCAATACTGCCCATTTTAGAGAATACAGAACCAATAACATTTTATGGTGTTAGATAATTATAATTGAAATTATAATTTGCATGAAATGTGTTATTGATAGCAAAAAATAAGTAAAATAGATCCCCTACAGCCAGCAACAATAGAAACCTCAACAATAATAACGCCCCAGCAACAATAGACCCCCCCTATCAACAATAGATACACCAGCAACAATAGACCAACAGCAAAAATAGACCCCACAGCGACAATGGCTTACCCAGCAACAATATGTCCCTACACAAAAATACCCCCAGTAACCATAGACCCCCCAGCAAAAATTGACCCATAGCAACAATAGACCCCACAGCGACAACAGACCCCCCAACAACAATTTGCCCCCGGTAACAATAGACCCCCCAGCAACAATAGACTCCTCCCTCAACAGTGGATCAATGTCAGCAACAATTGACCTCCACAGCAACATAAGACCCCCCCCCAGCAACAATAGACGTTCCCAGTAGCAAGAGATCACCCAGCAGCCAGCAACAATAGACCCTCCAGAAAACCCCCACCACCCTTTGCCATTACATGCATTCAGTGCTTAAGGTGCCCCCCTTGTTTCCACCCCCCTACCCACCTCCCAGTATTGCCCCTTGTAGAGAATACAAAAGCAAGTGTCGCTTTGTTGTGTTAAATAATTGGTAGGAAATGTGGTAATGATAATAAGAAAAGCAGTAAAGTGCACCCAGCAACAATAGATCCCCCCAGCAATAATATACACCCCCCAACAATAGATCCCCCCAGCAACAATTGGCTTTCCACAACTAAATATTTCCCCAGCAACAATAACCCAGCCACAGAAGACCCTCAAGTAACAATAGATCCCCCAACAACAATAGACCCCAGCCAGCAACAACAGGCTCCTCCCTCAACAGTAGATCCCTCTCAGCAACAATTGACTCCCCTCAGCAATATAAGACCTCCCCTCCAGCAACCATAGATGCCTCCAGCAAAAACAGATCCCCCAGCAGCCAGCTACAATTTGACCCTCCAGCACACCCCACCACCCCTGCCATTACATGCATTCAGTGCTGGAGGTTCTGGAACTGCATTCTCCTGTGTTCCAGCTGAAAAAAGTATTGGTTATTGTAGTAAACACAGCTTCACCTTACAGACTTTTATAACAAACACTGGATGGACTACCAACTCCAACAAGTAAAATAAAAACCTTTACTTTATTATCCCTATTTGTAACAGAAATCAATGAACTGTAGGTGCACAACCAAATTTTGCAGCATCAGTATGGGCCAATTAACTTGATACAATATAAAAAAAATCAATTCAAGCGTGCAATACTAGCAATTATATATAAAAATACAATTATATTGTATTGTATTTAAAAATTGTATTTTTATTTATAATTGCTAGTATTGCACACTTTAATTGATTTTTTTATATTGTATATTGATCATTTGGCATATTGGTGTACATGTATGAAGATTTTTTGAGCGTTATCATTTTTTAGAACAGATTGATTATATTCAATTTATATATATTTATAGATTGAGTTAGGTATTTATTAATATATAAAGATTTTTTGAGCATTATTATTATTTTTTAGCACAGATTGATTATATTTATTTATAGATTGGTATAGGTATTTTATTAATTTTATCACATATTTCATGGTGGTAATAATTTAATTATATTTAATGATTAGTTAAATTTGGTGGAGCGCGACACATATTAAATTAATTATTAATCAATTTTGAACTATCTTCCTACCTGTAGTAAATCAACCTCTCTAACCAGAACAAGCATTTAACCTGTGCAGAGTAAAGCCTGAACTCCTGAACTGCATATGTGTTGCAGGTATGTAACTCAAAAAGTATTGAAAGCATTGGATCAACATTTTAAGAAGGCTTCTAATTGCTGTCCTTTTATTTTTTCCATCGCAGATGACCTTTAAACCATCACAGCCAATCAAGTATGTGCTTTTAATTTAACCTTCCCCTGAAATCTGTTTGCTGCTTAGTTCCGGATAACTGGAATCAGAAAGCTGCCAGCGCATCTCTATAGCTGAACACGTCTCTCTCTGGACTCGTAACATATTAAAATATTCCTCTGGAAATACTTGCCTGCTACAAACTTTTGACTTGTCAGCCCTTTTCTTTGTACCATTTTATTAAAGAAAGAACACGGCTCCTACATTGGCGTCAAAGATTTATGATGCTTGTGGTACCAGCGTCTCCATTATTTATGTTTTGTCTGACTTTGGCTGAACTGAATCTAAATAAATTGTAATATTAACCAAAAGTCAATTGTTTTATGACTTCTCCATTCTATATGTTTGGTTGCCAAAGGTATTTTATGTTCTTAAAGGCTTATTAAGCCATAAGTACCTATGATCCATCAGGATAAAGCACAGGACTTTGAAACAGAAGACTCCAAATTTGCAAAAAAAAATTGAGTATATTCGTATATTAGAGATATCCAAAGGGTATAAATAGTTTCTGAAGACAAACATTAAGACTAGATGAGCTCATTTCCCTATTTGTGCCATTTTTCGATACTTACGACCCTGTCAGCTTCTGGGCACATATTTCGTCTTCAATTGAACCATGTAACACAATTACCCCTTGTTCACACCAATGCGGTTTTTTTTCGTGTGTGCCTTTTGCTTTTTACAGTCCATTTAACATGTTTTCCTATGTGACATGTTAACATCTATGCTTTTTTGAGCTGTTACATTTTTGGAAAAAGTCAGGGTCTTTTTTAAATGCAAAAAAGCAGAGTTTTTGCTACAACAGAGTTCAACGGAGAAGCTGCATTTTTACCGCGTTTTGTGTTTTTTTTCTGCCCAGCAACAAAAAAAATTCTACTTTAATAAAAAAAAAAAGCTCAAAAAAGAACAAAATGCAGCAAAAACATGCATGTAAAAACAAAGCACAATGCAAAACGCATTATAAAATAGATCAAAAGCAAAAAGCACAGGTGTTAATTAACCCCTTTACGCCGGCCGCACGCAAATGTGCGGCCTCCCGGCATCTGGGCCTAGACGCCGAGCGGCTGCACATTTGCGTTCATGTAACAAAAACATATGTGCTGAGAGCACGCGCCCTGCAAGCTCCGAGCACGCACCCTGCAAGCTCCCAGCACACATGTGTGGTACTCACGGAAAGGTCCTGGTCCGCTCTTTCGATTGGGACCTTTTCCAATCATGTGACTGCCGTGACGCGTCGTCACGTTGGTCACATGATCCCTAAACCACACCTCACCCGCCCCGCCTGAAACTCTTAAAGGGTCGGGAGGCATCGGCGGGAAGTGGTTAAGCCTACAGGCTTGTTCACATCAGCAGTTGAGAGGCTGTAAAACTCTGCAGTTGAGTCAAGTTTTTACTACCAACCCCACACCCCAACCACTCCCTGTGCAGAGGGAGTGGCCAGAGATGTACATATGACACAGCTATGATGTTTTTCTTTGGGGCCTCAGCTGGAATTATACACCCTGTCACTTTCAGCAGGCATAGCAAAGTGAATGGGGCCGCTCTGTGCTAATGCAGGTTTCAAGGGTTAAAACACTTGGTGAGGAGGCGATACAATGCTTCCTTACCGCCTGTCAAAGGCTCTCCGAAGAGCAATCTGAATGTGAATTGCTGTTCAGAGACCAAAGCAAATGTGAACAAGCCCTTAGCCCGAGATCACACTGATGTGGTGCGGAAGTCGCATTGGTTTCTGTGCGATTTCCGCACTGTATCATAATCACATCCCGTTCATAAAGACCACTGCGGGTGTGTATTTTACGTTAGTGCCACCCC